CTAAACGTCACGTTAGTGTAGCTTATATAATGTGTAAAGTTTAGTATACTCTAATCCCTTATAGTGATGGCACACGACAAGACTAGCATTCAGCACATAATGCTTTTGAATACAAAAAGGGAAACAACGCCTCTGTAGCCACAAAGAAGTTTATGGAAATGTTTTGAACATTCGTAAGTGTCAACGATGGTTCTGCAAAATTCGTTCAGGTGACTTTAGCCTTAAAAACTGTGATGGCAGGAGCTGACATGTTGGAATTGATATTGATGCTCTGAAGATGCTTGATGTGTCTAACCCAAGGCAATACACTCATGAAACAATATGTAAACATCTAAGGAATATTGGAAAACTCCATAGAGAAGGTGTTTGGGTGCCTCACGAACTCTCCGATGATCATTGTTTACAGCGTGTGAATGTTGCTTTGTCTCTTCTTGCGCATAATGTGTGTGAACCATTTTTGGACAGAATTGTCATTGGTGATTAAAAATGGATTCTCTATGCAAATGTTAAATGCCAAAAACAATGGCTCAGTCCCAGACAAAAACCACTTTCGACCCCAAAACCTAGACTCCATCCTCAGAAAGTGATGCTTCACATTTGGTGGGACATCAAAGAAGTAATTCATTTCAAACTCCTCAATCCACAGTGAACTGTCAATGCAGAGATCTACAGTCAGCAACTGGAACGTTTAAATCAAGCCCTTCATCAGAAAGGTGTTCTTCTTCTCCACGACAATGCATGTCCACATGTGGCACATTTGATGCAACACAAGATTATGGAGTTCTTCCCCACCCACCATATTCTCCAGATATGGCACCATCAGATTGCCATCTTTTTCATTTGCTGCAACACCATATTAATGGGAAAACATGCAAATATGGAAGGTGTTAAAGAGGACATCGATATGTTTTTGCTTCAAAGCCAAGTGATTCACATTTTTTTTAGTTTTAGTGGTAATAAACTTTTATGAATGTATATTATGTTCTGCTACACTCTGGTTTCTTTGAATATATATAAGTGGTGCACACATTGAATATAAACATTCTAAGTTACATTAAAGTTATGCTTACACACCAAATGTAATAATTTATTTATAAATTATACTACAGTAATTCTGAAAAGTACTTTTCATCATTGCAATTCTAAAAGTAATAAGTTGCTAAAAGATACATTGTGATTTTTCAAATTCTTGTTGAATATATTTTTGATGAATTCCTAACATTTTAATATAACTTGAAAGACTCAACAACTTGTATACTTTTATAATGACTTCAGATCCTCCAAAAGTTGATCTGTAAGTCAAAACTGACTGAGATGATGAAGATTTTTCCAAAAGAAAGTGGTCCAGCTCCCATCCTTGTTTCAAAAGACCATGAAACTCCTATAAAAATAAGATACATAGATGAAGACTTTAGTCATGAAGCATACAACTTGTAAAATCTAAAAACAATTGTATGTTTCTGTTACAAATATTTAAAATAAAATTGTATCAAATAATTAATGGGATCATCTTCTGGTTAAAATACATGGTTTCAGTATCAAAAACAAACATGAAAATATTTGCACTTACCACAGAATTTGATATTCCTAGCTCTGGATTTTGAATGTGCAGTTCTGGGAAATGAAATTCTTGCAATTCAGCCAAATCTTCCTGATAGATTTGAGAAAATAAAATTCAGTGTAATTGTAAGCAAAACATAACAATTAATTTTAATTGTGTTTCATAATGTTATGTTGTTGTTTTTATCACAGTAACAAATAAAGAAAGTGCACTTCAAATGTTTTCAATAAAAAAGTTCGTGGAAAATCCTAATGTGCCTGGAAAAATAAAACAACTCTCCTTCATCAGCTTTAGAAAAAGGAAAGGATAAGGAGGAAAAAAATTTAATTAAAATTCAAAATAAGTTATTCAAGCAAACAGGAATTAATTTAACCCTTAGAGTACAGGTGGGTCAAAGTGCATATATCACTAGCTTTTTACACAGTTACATTAAAAATTTAACTCAAATTCAAATATTATACAAGTTTTAATTTCTTGGTTTCAAAACGAAATAAATAAATTCTAAATCTTCACTTGTCTGTATCATGTCACATTTCTTCACTGTGAATTGCCCATTTTAGATTTTCTTTCACTCCTATAAGACTTTCTAAGTTTCTTGGGAAGTTCACACTTACACATAAGACATCCCTGAGCTAAAATGTAAATTTTATGGCCTCTAAGTTTCTTGCTTTATGAATATATATAAGCAATAAACTAAAGGAAAGATGCCACACCCCTCCTAGTACATCCTGCTTTAAAAAAATAGCAAATATAAGAACGAATTATGGACACTGGATTATTTATAACTGATAGAAAAAACAAATTTAAATTTACTAAATGTGATGCAGCCTGAATCCACTGAAATAAATAGTTTTGAATGTTTTGCTGTTTGCCAAATTAGAACTCTGCTTGATTAGGTATGTGAATTATTTAATTGAATTTCCATAGTTAGAAAACCAAATAAACTGTACTAGTTTTAAGGCATTCTATTTTATATTAGTGACAATATTTCAAATTCTAAATAATCCTACCTAGTATGAAACCATGCTGGCAGTAGTCAAGCATTAAACATTTTTAATATCAACTGTGATGTAGTTAGTTTTCATCAAAAGTAGATATACCTTACTATGGCACATTAATTGCCTTTTAACTTTATAAAATGAAGTAAAATAAAACAGTAACACTTCTATACTATTAAATTAAATGCATAAAATATATGTACACTTATACATATGCTGGATACAACAAGCAGTTTTTTTATTTAAATGGTTTGAAAATTTCTTTATTTGTGCACATATTACTGAGATATTAATAACACATATAATTCATTATCATACTAAGTTTACAAAAAAAAAAAAAACAGCAATTGTATGTAATTATCATTTTCATAACTAACTTATAGATCTGATTCCTTTCCAATAAATGGTAGGGAATGTGTGTAATCTCTTTTAGCTGCGGCATAGTGGCTCATAGAATGGGTCCCGAGTTTTTTTCAAGTACAAACTAAAAGATCTAATTACAGTATTGGACTCAGGAGGTCAAACCCTTTCGACTGATGTATTTGACCATGCCGAAGGCCTCATACATTAATTTACTCTAATCCTGCCTAAAAGAATTTCAATTTAAGAGTATGAGTAATAAAATTTAATCGGGTATACACGTGCCCCACGCTTGGTATAGCTGACGCACAAAAATATAGCTGATAAAAGGAAAAAAAAAAGTCTCACAGATTAATTTACTCTGATCCTGCCTAAGAAAATTTCAAGTGCCATGACTATTGAGGTATCCCTCTTGTTTTACTTAGCCTTGCAACTTATATTAGTCAAATTATAAAGAAGATGACAGTAACTCATTAGGA